ATGGTCTCTGGATGTGGGTGAACTGCAAATCAGTTTACACTCGACTCAAAATAATGGTTTAATCAGAATATTACATAAAACTTAAATTACAGTTTTATGTAAACATTCAAAAACATTTAACCTACTAATGCCTTAATTAATGTAATTTTATTGGTATCTATTTTTTATTTTGAAATTTACCAGTAGCTGCTGCATTTCCCACCCATGGCTTATACTCAATATGTTTCCCCACTTTTTTTGTGGTAAAATTAATATCGGCTTATATTCAGGCTCGCTTATACTCGAGTATATACGATACACACATACACACAAAAACACACACACCTAAAGCATCAACTTCCTTGACAACCACAATTCCTGCATTTAAAAATGGTTCCTCCCACTCACAATGATAACTGGTGGCTTGTTTATTCTGTTATGAGACATTTTGATTGTACTATTCCTGCATAACCCAAGAGAGAAATTTAAGAGCAACCATTCACCTTCTTCAATATTTTAAAAGAACTTCACAGTATTAACAATGTACAGACGTTTGACAGCAAATCCTTTATAACTCCTATTAATTCAAGCATTATATAATAATCACAAAGTTCTATAATAATCCACAAATTTGATGAAATGGGCCGAGTTAAAAACTCATGCTTTACAAAAGTTAAGAGCCATTGATGCCACAAGACTGTTGTTTTTCCTTACATGGCTGCCCCTCAGGAAACATCATTATGCAATATGCATCATTAAATAAATAATAAATGGATGTTTATGAGTAACTAGAATGTAGTTTGTTTGTTTGTTTTTTTGTCATGTCAGGAGCAACTTGAGAAACTAGAAATTCACCAAGCCCCCCTTTTGAAAGTGTGGAACACTGTCCCTTTAAAAAAAGGAAGAAACCGGAATTCCAAGCTTGTTAAATTGACCCAGTTACCATACATCTTCATTCACACACTGCAGTCTCTGGTGCCTAGAAAGCACACAACTAAAAGCATTTTACCATAATACACTTCTTCTTCTTCTTCTTCTTCTTCTTCTTCTTATTATTATTATTATTATTATTATTATTATTATTATTATTTCTGGTATTTCTACTCCATCACTTCTCTACCCCCGAAGGGGGACTCAGGATGGCTTACCAGGGGCATCGATACGATGCCACTACATAACAATTACAATAATAAAACCACAATTAACATAAATCATAATTAAAACAATACACCAGCAATCAGTAAAACAGTCTCATCAGCCGTATCGCCGTTCCAGTCAATGTCCCTCTAAAGTGCTATATACATCTACTGTCTGAAAGCCTGGTCCCAAAATCATGATTTTAATTTCTTTCTAAAAGCAAGGAGGGAGGGAGCAGATCTTACCTTGTTTGGGAGTGTGTTCCATAGGCAGGGGGCCACAGCCGAGAAGGCCCTGTCTCTCGTCCCCGCCAGATGCATTTGTGCTGTTGACGGGAACGAGAGCAGGGCCTCCCCAGATGATCTTAGATTACGAAGTGGGATGTAGGGGTGGATGTGTCTGGACAAGTAAGCTGGACCAGAACTGGATAGAGCTTTATAGGTCAAAACCAGCACTTTGAATTGGGCTCGGAGACGGATCAGCAGCCAGTGGAGCTGGCATAGCAGGGGGTGGTAGTAGACACTTAAGACATTTTGACACCGTTATTATACACCATGAGCACAAATGTTCCATTTTGATCCATCATGGAAGTAAGCTTGGTCCTGCAACTGTGTGTACAATACTATACATCTAGAATGGAGGTGTATATTAAAGAGTAAATGAAACAAAAACTTTTCATGCTATAATACAACTATATTGATTTGGCATAAACATATCTATTCTAACTCTCTTGTAAAGGAAGTCAATTATATTCTCAATTCCACCTCCAGTGATCTAGGTCTTATAATTTCTGGGACGTGTTAAGGGATAGCAACATGATCAGTTTTATTTTATGAATTTTATTTTATGACCATTTACCAAATTAGTTCAGAATCACTCTCACATATTCCAATGCAGCTTTTCTCCTCCCCCTCCCATAAAGCTTCATGAATTTTCAAAATCTCTTCCCATAGTTGTGTTTGCCCTAGATCTGTTCTAAAATATCTCTGTCAATACAACATTGCTTCTGCTGGAAGCTGACTGATCTATATATAAAGGATAATGAAGAAAAGCGTCATGTTGCCAAGTAATGCAGACAACAGCAGCCTGCTGTGACATTCCTTTACAAAGCTCATCCTTACTACCCTATGAGGAACACCAGCTTAGCATGCTTCTGATAGTTCCATTACTGTGCACTGCCTCTCGATAAATGAATACCATAAACAAAAAATAAGCAAGTTCTGCACTTGGAATGCTTATCAACAAAAACAAAAACCATGGTCCAACTAAACCACCCTGGCAGAAAGTCTCACTAGCATAGAATACATTATACCAGCAGCATTTCATGTTATGCAAGTGACAAATGCAACCCAAAGCAGTTTGGTCTTATGATCCAGAGAAGTGGGGAAACTGAATACTGTTTACCCAAGACTATAGATCTGAAAAATGATTCCCAGACACCAGATCTGGATTTCAAACACTTTACATTTAACTTTTATTGCTCCGTTTTCACTATACAATTCTTGATGTCAGGTTTTCATTCACTCATACAATCATTCTTCATACTCACAACAAAAAGGTCTGAATGCTGAGTTGACTAGTTCTCATCACCGGTTGAGAACTGATCACCGCTATTCTTGCACACACTTTCTCTGGACAGTCTTTTTATAGACCTTCTAACTTCTGTTATTTGCATGCATGTGTTGTTTTTACAAAGAACTGTAATAATGAACAATGTTTTCTTGTTATCTCTTAAAGTTCCTATATTGACTAGTCCTGTGGCTTTACTTGATTTTTTTAAAACCGTGTCAGGAGCGACTTGAGAAACTGCAGAGAATTGGCAGTCTGCAAGGACGTTGCCCAGGGGACGCCTGGATGATTTAATATTTTTATCTTCCTTGTGGGAGGCTTCTCTCATGTCCCTGCATGAGCCCCCGGTGGTGCAGTGGGTTAAACCCCTGTGCCGGCAGGACTGAAGACCGACAGGTTGCAGGTTCGAATCCGGGGAGAGGCAAATGAGCTCCCTCTATCAGCTCCAGCTCCTCATGCGGGGACATGAGAGAAGCCTCCCACAAGGATGATAAAACATCAAATCATCCGGGCGTCCCCTGGGCAACGTCCTTGCAGACGGCCAATTCTCTCACACCAGAAGCGTCTTGCAGTTTCTCAAGACGCTCCTGACATGACAAAAAAAAAAAAGGAGCTGGAGCTGATAAAGGGAGCTCATCCGCTTTTTTCCCGGATTCGAACCTGCGACCTGTCAATCTTCAGTCCTGCCGGCACAGGGGTTTAACCCACTGCGCCACCGGGCCCCCCGCTTTACTTGATAACATGCAGCAATTCTGAATTTCATACTTCCTCTCTCTGAGAATCCTCACTTCACTTGTCAATTCACCATATCATCATGCATTGTGGTTCTCCATTTCATTTCTTCACAGATATTTTTGTTTCTTCAGCTTAAGGGCTCAAACACACAGGTTGGTCCCAAACGCCTCCACTTGAGATCAAAATACGTTCTATTTTGAAATCACAAATGCATCTTTTTGAATTAAGTTTGTTTTTCTTTACACTAAATATAACAATTATATAATAATCAACAACAGTACGCTGCAAATCCACACAATGGACTGTAATAAAACATGTAAGGAAGCTGTAGCTCTTGGCGAGCATACCTTTAAAATATCATACCAGTAATACGGTTAGTGCACTCTCCTGGCCAGCTATGCGCTGTATTTCTCCATGTTGGAATTGAATTTTAACAAAATCCTTTTTAGTATTCCAAGTATGCGGTTCTAAATCAGTGGTTCTCAACCTGGGGTCCCCAGATGTTTTTAGCCTTCAACTCCCGGAAATTCTAACTGCTGGTAAACTGGCTGTTTCTTCATTTGTTCATTTTGTAAAAGCAATGTCTTAAATTTTACATTTGTTGTTCATTCGTTCAGTCATTTCCGACTCTTTGTGACCTCATGGACCAGCCCACGCCAGAGCTCCCTGTTGGCCGTCATCACCCCCAGCTCCTTCAAGGTCAGTCCAGTCACTTCAAGGAAACCATCCATCCATCTTGCCCTTGTTTAGCCCCTCTTCCTTTTTCCTTCCATTTTCCCCAGTATCATTGTCTTCTCTAAGCTTTCCTGTCTCCTCATGATGTGGCAAAGACTTCATCTTTGCCTCTACTATCCTTCCCTCCAATGAGCAGTCAGGCTTTATTTCCTGAAGTTTGGACTGGTTGGATCTTCTGGCGGTCCAAGGCACTCTCAGAACTTTCCTCCAACACCCCAGTTCAAAAGCATCTATCTTCCTTCACTCAGCCTTCCCTACGGTCCAGCTCTCACATCCGTAGGTGACTATGGGGAACACCATTGCTTTAACCATGCGGATCTTCGTTGCCAGTGTGATGTCTCTACTCTTCACTATTTTATCAAGATTGGACATTGCTCTCCTCCCAAGAAGTAAGCGTCTCCTTTACATAATCAGGTCCTACCACTATATTTAATTCTGACATTAATAATTCTAAATATATTTTACTCTTAATCATTTCTGTAGCAAAAATTATATTTCCTGTCACTAAATTTTTAATATACGGTAAGTAACATTACAATTACACCCTTGATTTTGTTTATCAAGTTAAATTACAGTTGCATCAGATCGGGGGAAGGAGGGGCATCTGCACTGTAGAATCAACACAGTTTGAGCCCATATTGAAATGCAACAGATTAGTGCTATGCAATTATGGGAGTCGGGGGTTTGGGCAGGCAAAGCAGAGTTAACGATCTTGTGAAACTACAACTCACAGGATTCCTCAGCATTGAGCCATGGCAATTTAAGTGATATAGCGTTAAGCGTTAATGCTCCAGTGTGGATGACACTTCCTTCCCTCCCTCTCTTGCCCATCCAGGCGGGCCTACCTGCCCGGCCATCACTGGCTCGGCCCCGATCTCGATCCCGTACTTCAGCTCGCTGAGCTCCAGCAGGTTCAAGGAGCCCAGCGCCTCTCCGCCTCCCAGCGCCGCTGCCCAGAGCAGCAGCAGGAGCGGGCCGCAAAACCTCGAAAGCAGGAACCTCGCCGCCATCTTCCCCGCACGGCCGCCCCCTCCGCCTGTTTCTGCCCTTCCTAGGCAACGGCCACTTCCGCCCTGCCTTCGCATTCTGACCCAGGGAAGAGAATGGTCCCGGTGAGGTGTCAATTATCGCAGAGGGCGCTTACCATTGGCTGATTCCAAGGGGCGGGGAGAGTGAGTCTTTTCGGTGGGGGGAAAAAAACCTGGTAAAACGCCATTGGCTCACTCCTTGGGCCAATCAGGGGAGCGAGCGCTTGCACAAGCCGCGGCTAAAAAAACCTGGTGGAAACCGATTGGCTGAAGTTCAGGCAATCCAAGCAGCCAATCAGAGTGGCAAGCGGCTGCCCTACTGGAAAGGTGCCAGAAGGCGAGTGCGCCTACAACACAGAATTAATACAGGGCCCTTCCACACAGCCAAATAACCTAGAATATCAAGGCAGAAAATCCCAAAATATCTGCTTTGAACTGGGTTATCTGAGTCCACACTGCCATATATTCCAGTTAGAAGAAGATAGTGTGGGATTTTAGTCAGTTGTCTGGAAGGGGCAGAGTTTGACGCTGTTTGACCTTCCCTGGCCAACTTCTATGACATCGGAGTTGTAGTTTGATGAGACACCAGCGCTCTTTTGGCCAAAAAGGTGTCCTTGGTCTTTTCTGTGGTGGCCCCCCGACTCTGGAACACCCTCCCCAAAGATCTTAGACAGGCCCCTACATTGGCAGTCTTCAGAAAGAACTTGAAGACCTGGCTGTTCTGATGTGCCTTTCCCGATTAGGAAATCTCCAATACCAAGTCCCAGAAGCACTTTAGTAGAACTAAGATTGCCGCACACTGCACACTGCACTTGCCCTGAAATCCAACATACCACCTGTCACACCCAGCACTTTTTAATTCTGTACCCATTACTTGGCCCGGCCCTAGTTTTTACTGTGTTATGGTGTAATGTTTTGTTGTTATTGCTTTATGTTTTTGATTTTGCTTTGAGTTGTTTTGTTATGCTGTTGTTGTGTTGAGGCCTTGGCCTTTGTAAGCCGCATCGAGTCCTTCGGGAGATGCTAGCGGGTACAAATAAAGTTTAATAATAATGTTTCTAACTTGGGGGGGGGGTGTGAAAAATACAAGCCGCCTAGCTCACGCTGAAGCAAAGAGCACAGCAGGGGGCAGAGCAACCTTCAATAGCCTGCAGCTCCACCCCTGTCAACCACCTCCACCAAGTCTGGCCTCCTTAATGAGAGCATTCAACACACACATACCCAACTTGGTTGCTTCACTACATCGGTTATTGCTGCAAGTAATGACAGTGTGAATAAATTGTCAATATTTGCTTGAGATAGTGCTTGCAGTTCTGGAGGGACTCTTAATTTTTTGCATCTCATAGACTTAGCATGGGGATTTGGTTAACCAGTTAAAATTCATGAGTAAACCAGGTTTTTTAAAAAAATCTGAAACATTTCTGGGGGGGGGTTGAACCCCTAAAACCACCCCCTCGCTACAGGCCTGCTAGCGGGGTACAAATAAAGTTAATAATAATAATAATAAAACTATAAGTTCCCTTATTATAAATTAGCTTTGTAATAAGAGGGGGTCATGTTTGGTAACAGTTACTACATTATTTTCTTTTCTCTATATTAACACTTCCATCAACAAGGATCCCCAGTCATTCAAATATGTCACCACTGACTTTTTCATCCCTTTGATTACTGCTTTCATGAGATCATATCCAACTGAATTTCTGCATTAACAGTTGTTCGTGCTGAATAAACTACATACCTGGCTCAATAACAGTCTATGTGAAAAGGATCTTGGAGTCTTTGTGAACAAAAAGTTGAACATGAGCCAACAATGTGATCATAGAATCATAGAATCAAAGAGTTGGAAGAGACCTCATGGGCCATCCAGTCCAACCCCCTGCCAAGAAGCAGGAATATTGCATTCAAATCACCCCTAACAGATGGCCATCCAGCCTCTGTATAAAAGCTTCCAAAGAAGGAGCCTTCACCACACTCTGGGGCAGAGAGTTCCACTGCTGACCGGCTCTCACAGTCAGGAAGTTCTTCCTCATGTTCAGATGGAATCTCCTTTCTTGTAGTTTGAAGCCATTGTTCCGCGTCCTAGTCTCCAGGGAAGCAGAAAATAAGCTTTCTCCCTCCTCCCTGTGGCTTCCTCTCACATATTTATACATAGCTATCATATCTCCTCTCAGCCTTCTCTTCTTCAGGCTAAACATGCCCAGCTCCTTAAGCCGCTCCTCATAGGGCTTGTTCTACAGACCCTTGACCCTTGATCTCCAGACCCTTGACGCAGCAACTAAAAAGCCAATGGGATTTTGGGCTGCATCAAAAGCAGTATAGCATGTAGATCGAGGGAAGTCCTGGTGCCTTTGTATTCTGCTTTGGTTAGACCTCACCTAGAATATTTATTTATTTACTTACTTACTGTATTTGTGTACTGTCCCTCGCAGCCTTCCGGCGACTCAAGGCAGTTTACAAGGCAAAATTCAATGCCACCAAGAACACAATTACAATATAAAAACCTTAACATCAATAAAATCATAACAACTGTAATAAAACATAATTCAAAAAATACTCATTAAAACAATGTCTAGTCCCATCATGTAGTTGTTCCATTCTTATGTCCGTTACTCAGTATTCGCAAATGCCTGCTCAAATAGCCATGTCTTGATTTTTTTTCCAAAATGCTAGAAGAGAAGAAGCCAATCTGATCTCCCTAGGAAGGGCGTTCCATAGCCAAGGGGCCACCACTGAGCAGGCCCTGTCTCTCATCCCCGCCAGCCATGCTTGTGATGATGGCGGGACCGAGAGCAGGGCCTCTCCAGACGATCTTAAAGTCCTCGAAGGTTCATAAGGGGAGATGCATTCAGACAGGTAAAATGGGCCAGAACTGTTTAGGGCTCTATAGGCCAAAGCCAGCACTTTGACTTGCGCCTGGTAGCAGACTGGCAGCCAGTGAGTTGGCGAAACAAGGGGGTTGTATGCTCCCTGAGAGCCGCTCCAGTTAGGAACCTGGCTGCCATCCATTGGACCAGTTGAAGCTTCCAGACAATCTTCAATGGCAACCCCACGTAGAGAGCATTGCAGTAGTCTATACAGGATGTAACAAGAGCGTGGACTACGGTGGCCAAGTCAGACTTCCCAAGGTACGGGCGCAGCTGGTGCACAAAAATTCAATAGAGATATTGACAAACTGGAAATTGTTCAAATGATCAAAGGTCTGGAGAATATGTCCTATGAGGAGCAGCTTAAAAAGATGGGGATGTTTAGCCTGCAGAAGAGAAGACCATGTTTAAATATGTGAAAGGATGTCAGAAGGGAGAGGGAGTAGGCTTGTTTTCTGCTACCCTGACTAGGAGCAATGGGTTCAAATGCCAGGAAAGGAGATTCCACCTGAATATTAGGAAGAACTTCCTGACTGTAAGAGCTGTTCAGCAGTGGAACTCTCTGCCTCAGAGTATGGTGGAAGCTCTTTCCTTGGAGGCTTTTAAGCAGAGGCTGGTTGGCCATTTGTCACGGGTGCTTTGATTGTGCTTTTCCTGCATGGTAAGGGATTGGATTAGATGACCCATATGGTCGCTTCCAACTCTATTATTCTATGACTATGGGGAACACTCTGAATAAAAGATCTCCAAGAAACTCATAGAACATAAACAGTTTGCTATGGATAGTTTATCTGGCATTTGGCAAATGAAATTGCTTATATCCCCTCTGACTTTGACACTAGAATTGGTACAGATGCAGTGGATGTAACTTTGACTCTAACTTGTTGATGATTGCTTTTTAATTTGAGCCACCCAAGAATGTAGACAGATTTCTTGGAGAGATACGAACCGCCATATGTGCGTTAGAGACTTGGCCTTCTTGGGTTATTAAAAAAAGGCTATTCATTTACTAAATAGACGGAGTGGTCAATGTCATGCTAAAACATGACAGAATTCCAACTTGCCTGAAGAAGGCTGTTATAAGATAGTGGAGACATGGTGCTGGAGAACTCCAGGTCCCCTTGGCCATTGGCCTGTGGGATCATTCAGACTCACTTTGTCCTCCATGCTATTTAATAAATACACAAAACATGGGAAGTTGCCCAGAGCTTGGGGTTTGGTGTCAACAGTATGTGGATAGCACCCAACATCTACTACTCCTTTCTATCAAAATCCAAGGAAATTGTTTTTGTCCCAAATTTGTTCCTTTCACCTGTAATGCCCATAATGGATGTGAACAAATTGAAACTTAATCCAGCCAAGGTCTGTGACTTGGGTGTACTCTTGGCTTCAACCCTGAGCCTGGAAGCTCAGGTTTCAGTGGTGGCCAGGAGTGCATTTGCACATTTAATGCTTGCTTGCCAGCTGGATCTCCTCCTTCAGATGCCACAGTGACACAGGATTTGCCTACATCACAGCTGGGTTATTGTGACACGCTCTACATGGGGCTGCTTTTGAAGAATGTTTGGAAACTTCCGCTGGTCCAAAAAACTTCAGCCAGTTTGCTTGTTTGCTACAGGGAAAACCCAACTCCACTGGCTGCTGGATGAAATTCAAAGACCTGGTTTGAAACTATATGGGAAGGTTGAGTGAGAAAATGATGCCAGAAACATTAACAACCTTAGTTATGCAGATGATACCACTTTGATGGCTGAAAGCGAGGAGGAGCTGAGGAGCCTTCTCACCAAGGTGAAAGAATAAAGTGCAAAAGCTGGGTTGCAGTTTAACATAAAAAAACCCAAGATTATGGCAACCAGACTGATTGATAACTGGGAAATAGAGGGAGAAAACGTGGAGGCCGTGACAGGCTTTGATTTCTAGTTGCGAAGATTACTGCAGATGCAGACTGCATTCAGAAAATCAGAAGATGTTTACTTTTTGGGCAGAGAGCAATGACCAATCTCGATAAAATAGTGAAGAGTAGAGACATCACACTGGCAACGAAGCTCCGCATAAAGTAATGATATTCCCCATAGTAACCTATGAATGTGAGAACTGGACCATAAGGAAGACTGAGCGAAGGAAGATAGACACTTTTTGAACTGTGGAGTTAGAGGAAAATTCTGAGAGTGC